AAGGAGGATTTTTTCATTTTATGTAATTATGTGAATTCTCCCTCTCTATCCAGTTCCCTTTTTTCATATGAAAATATCATAAGTGGCTTCAGGTAGAATAAAGGATACATGGTAGGATAGAAAAGATGGGCACGGAATCCTTTTCTTTCCAGCCATTTGTCTATTCAAAATGCCCTCCACACCTGCATTTCTCTAACAAACGATACGGTGACCTTTCTTTTAACTGTCATGGGAAAAGGAACAGTTGGGGAGGGGGGAAAACTACATCCTTAATCTTAAGCCACCGGCTATGTGATTAAAAGTCCTTACAGCAGAGGGAGAAGGCATACAGAGCTATCTGTATCATGTAGTTTTGCCTTTGATGTGATTATTGAAAATGGTGAATGGATTTAGAAATTAGTTTGAACTGATATCTCATATATAAATTAACAGTGTTTGAGTCTTTTTACTGCTATTTTGTTTATTTTACTTTGTTATACATAAGCAATTGACTAACAAAATATTATATCATTTTCTTCTATCTATGAGTAGTTGTTTATTCAATCATTAGTGGTTTCTCATTTCTCTTAGTTTCTCCAATATCTCTGCATTATATAATAATGCACGGTAAAAATCTCAAAAAGTAGAAAGTGTAAATTAGGAGGAACAGTTAAAAGTAAATGATAACTGATCATTTCAAGACATAGTGTTGTTTATTCTAGAAATAATAAAAAGAGGCTTCCATGTATGGAATTGAATTTATCTGAATCAACTCAGTTCAATCCCTTACCATTGACTTTCACTGGGATATTAACAGTAAAACATTCATCTCAATAAACAGAGAATGCAGAATATCTTTTCCTCAGTAAAACATTTGCAGAGTTACATTGGAGAGAAAGCTTGTGAGAATTGAAAACGTGGAACAAATTAATCCAAGACTTCTGCAAATTTTAGATAATCAAATTAGTATTTTAACATATATTCCTGTGCTTGCAATTTGAAATTCCCAAGCCAATTAGGTTGTGCAAGTATGCACTTTTCCTCATGTAGCATCCAAAACTGGACTCCTCTGAAAAGTACATCACAAAAGAAAAGCTCTCTGACTTTTAGTCAAAATGGCACTGTTGTCTGACAGCGATCAATATTCTGACATCCCATGTAGTATTTATATAGTGATATCCTATTAATTATTATTTTAATTGAAGCTGGGAGAATTAGAAACAAGTAGATTATTTTCTGTTCTAAACATCTGAAAGAACTCATTCATTGTTTATTTGGGTAGTGCCCAAGTTAAGCTCCACCACCATCTTTCCCTATTATGGCAATAATTTCATCAACTACCAAGAATAACAGAATAACAGAGCTGGAAGGTCTTCTTAGAGGTCTTCTAATCCAACCCTCTGTACAAGCAGGAGACCCTATATCATTCTGGACAAATGACTGTCCAATATTTTCTTAAAAAATTACAGTCGTGACAACTTTCTTTAAAAAGTTGTCATGACCATATTTGGAAGATGGATATCAGAGCCATTAAAGATTGGAGCTCTGCAAATCTTCTAAAGGTTGTGTTTTGGAAAGAACCAAAATGAAGCACCTCTTCAAGCTGTTAAAAGCTCACATGTTTCAGAAGCTGCTCCTGACTGCCGCCACATGCACTTCTTTGAAAAGATTTATGCAACATTACTAGTGATACCAATGAGGTTGAGGATTCAATGATTAAATTAGAAGATTGTAAGAAGTTGGAACTGATTTTCTGAAAAATGGAAACAAAATAATGTTTCTTAAATCTAGGTTTGGTTGACATAATTTACATTTGATTAGAATGCAAAAAAACAAGCAGCAAAAGGCCAACCAATTCTTTTTATACAGCATTAACCTTGTGAACTCTCAAGCTTCCTCCTTCCATTATATATTCAAGATGGACAGTGTTTAATATTTATTTGTTATGTATATGTAGGGGTGTGGGTCTATACATATGTTGTATATAGTATGTTTAGGTGTGTGTCATGTATGTGTTTCACTTTGAGAGCGGGCAACTAAATTTCATTTTTGATGTGTACCGTTGTGCCCATAGTAAAAAAAATATGACAATAAGCCTTGCCTTGCCTTGCCTTGCCCCACCCTCTAAGAAAAGCGGCAACTAACTACCCAGGGGAAACAGAGCAACCATAAGATTAATTTTAACCTAATTGGATATATATTCTTTTGAAACTTGGGAACTAAAAGTGTTCTTTCTTCTTATTGGAGATTTTTTTTTTAAATAAGATTTGAAAAACCACCGTATAAGTTTTGGACTTAGAAACCTATAAAACGGCGTTGGTGAAATCTTGTGGCATATTATGGTATTACAATTTGTTATTGCCTAAAAGAAACCTGGCTTGAAGCCCAGACTTCAGATAAAATTTGTTTGGCTTTGACAGCTACTACCTTTGAAAAATCCAGCTGCAAAGAAAGGATTTCTGGGCGACTTATCTGTGTGGCAGGGATGATGTACTGTTTTGGAAGCTTGCCTGCTTGAACTATGAATGTAAACTTTTACTGACTCTCAGAGCTATGCGTGGGGAACTGCTTTCTTATTTCCCTGCATAACAAGCATATATTACTACATGAGGTGATGGAACACCTTGGATTATAAACTTCTACTTGATAAACAATTTCTATTATAAAGACTACCTATAAAATGTGGAATAGATGTCCCATACCCAGCTACAAAACATAAAAAAATATTTTTAACGTTTGATTCTAAAGTCTTCAACTTAACATATTATCAAGAAAATATGGATGAAGATCAGGAAAAAAAACCTTTCCATGTTGAAATCAATACATGAAACTATCCTTTCGGCTTGTGATAAAATAAGAAGCAACACAAAGGAACAATGTTCTAGCTTAAATATACAAATCCAGATCTTGATTACAAGCAACAACACAGAAAACAAAAGGAAAATTGGAACAACTAAATGCTAAGACAGAGGACCCAACTGACCAACAGACCCAGCCAACTGAAAAAACAGAAAATGGAGTGACAATAATTGAAAATGGAAAAGACTTTTCACAAATCAAGAAATCAGAATATATTTGAGGAAAAGGAAGAAGAACATATTGAATGGAATATAAAGCTATCAGGACAAATATGGGGAATTGGAGTAACAGGGAGGCAGTTTAATGAATACCAATGGGCTCCCCCAAAAACTTCAACCAAATGGTCTTTCTTATTCCAAATAATATATATAAAAATAGAGGGAGAACTATTTGATGATTCAAAGGCACTGACATGGAAGGTTAGCTGGAAAAGGAAGAAAGCCACAGTAAGGCTGAAGAAAATAATTGCTTTGACTTATTAGAGGGGATATTATATTATTACCAATTAGATGGCTGAATATGGATAACTTTTAGAAAATAGAGTAAACATTATAATTAAATAGATAAGATGTGTAACTAGAATATTAGATTTTGGTATAAAAAGGGAAAAAGGGAGAAGTTGAGATAAGGGAAACTTTTGGTCACCTAAATATAAAATACTTGGAAATCAACTAATAGTGTTACTTTGAATAATGATGGAAAATTAAAGCCTGGAAAAAAAGCAACATGAGGACATTGATTGTATACAAGGATAAGGTGCAAACACAATTAAGATATGTATAAGCTAAAAATTATTGATAAGTGTAACAAAGATGTTTTTATTTAGTTGATAACAATAAGAATTGTATTAGCCCAATATGAGATAACAGATATTAATGGAAAAAGAGAGGAAATATTTGATGTTGTAACATGAGATTTATACTAAAGGTTTATGTTCATTATTGAACTATTGATTAACCCAGTCATCACGCTGCTTTTTAAATATCCAATTGTAAAATGAGAAAATCAATAAAATATTATTTAAAAAATAGAGGGGTAAATGTTTTAGGTTAATTCATTTATCGTGCCATAAAGATTCTTTGAAACTCTGTCAATAAGTCCCCTATACTGAGACAAATGAAAGAAAATTTAAATAGTTCAGAATTATTTGTTATTGGCTAGGAAAGTGGAATCAAGATGAACGTCACTCAAAGACTAAATTCAATATGAGATGAATTACTTGATCTTACTAAAATACTGGCAAATATTAAGATATATTGTACTTATAAAATATTATTGGATTGAAATTATATTTTTTTACCATGAAAATATTACATTATAGGATAAAATCAACTAAAAATGAGCAGATTAATCTTTTTTCCATGGCATGATGGACTTTCATAATATTATTTTGGATCAATTAGTTTCATTCATTTTCCTGTGAATTCTTGGAAATACATTCAATTCTAAAACATGATATTTAGACTATTTAGTCCCAATGTCATTGCTTCTTACTGGAATTAAAAAAAAAAAGTTAGACATTTTGGAGAAATCAGTTAAAGCTCTTTTAAGAAATTAATGGAGGGTGATGAAGATGATACGAATTTATTTAGTCTTTGGAATTATGCCCTTAAGTGTTCTGACCTTTTACAATAGTGGAAGTTTGTGTTAAAAGCTAAAATTTACTGCTAAACATCTTCATGTAACTTGTTTTTTAAAAATCACATTTTGTGAGTCATACTGTCAACAGATCACAAATGGAAAAGAGTCATTGCTCTTTACTAGAAAACTTAATTTTAATGTAGAAGGACTTAAATTCAATCTATGTTATTTATTTAACAGATGTCAGATAATATGACTGAACATACTCTATGACCAAGCCTGATCAAAATATAATCCACTCAAACAGGAAAAGTTACTTGTGCTAAAACTTTAATGCTTTGGGGAAAAATTACATGCTAACCTGAGTTTTTTTTACAAAAATGAATATAATAGCTGATAAAAATAATGTTTTTTCCTAAAGTGGTTTTGTCCTGAGGGTAGTAACTGTAGAATTTTATGCAATTACTTCCAGTGTTTTCAAGTCCCCAGTGGTAATAATTGGTCCACCTGTTGACATACTATTTCTCCTCTTCAGCTTCTAAATGCAGGCAGATGAATTGCATGCACATAGGTATAATTACCATCACTGATAGTGTTAGAGATAAACTTTCCCATCAGGGCTCTGTCAATCACGACTTCTTCTAGCTGTGGTCCAGAAAGGCTTAGAGATACCAGTATACCTGAAGAAAAGAGAAGCTGAATCCAAAGAGACAGGAAAAAATAAAAGTTATTAACAGAGATTGTAAGTTTCATACTAAATTTATATTTTAAAGATCCTATAATAATTCAACTGCTGAAACGCAGTAAGAGATTATTAATAATCAAAGAAAGGCACAAAAGCAAAAGCAAAGGAATTATGATATAAATACGTGTCAAATGCTACTGAATGAAGTACTTCCCATAATGTGCATATACAATAATAGAACTATGTCATTTAGGTTTGAAATCTTTTCCCAGGTGATTGCCTAATGAAAATGCAATTGAGTAATAAAAAGGCACCATAGATTCAAGGCAGTATGTCCAAATCATTTAATAACTTGTATCTATGTATTCCAAACTAAAGGTTATAGTAACAATGCCAAGATGAAAACAGCACCAGGTAAAAATATGTTTTTTAAAAAACTGAAAATAAGATTGGGATGAAAATGAATACTGAAGCAATTGTTACAAAGTATAAAACATATAAGTAGTTCTTGTCTAATAACACTAAATGTCATTTAGTGATGTAGTGAAAAAAAAAACACAAAATATAACTGCATAATAAACAATGGCAGTTCTGGCAAACCCAATTGTCATCATTAATCACAGACTGACTGGATTGTTAAGCAAAGACCCCATGTGACCATAACTTTTGATTTCCTGCCAGCTTCTCCATTTACTTTGCTTGCCAGCAGGGAAATTTGCAAATTACAATCATATGACTATGGGGCGCTGCGCAGGCCATAAGTACAAAGTCCAGTCGTAACAACCATTCATTCAGGGATGTTGTAAATTTGAATGGTCGCTGAACAGGTGGTTATTAAACAAGGACGACCTGAACTTACTTCCTATACAATACACAGTTCGTTGAATGTTTCTATCTGCCAGAATTTTCAGAATGCTTCAAACTACCAGAGCCAATTTGATGTAGTGATTAAGATGCTCCTAGAAACCAGGAGTTCTAGACCTGCCTTAAGCTTAAAAGTCAAGCTGGGTAACTTTGGGCCAATTACTTTCTCTAAGCCCATCTCACAGGGTTGTTGGTGTGGGGAAAATTTATTTAATAAATTTTGATGCTGCCTATCTCCCCTTAGAAAACATAAAAAGATAAACAGAAAAGCAATAAAAAATTTAAAACTATACAAAAACCCAGAACCAAGGAGATCAACAGAGCAGAAGTATTATGTATGTTCATTGCATTTACTTACAAAATAATAAAAGTGGGATAAAAATACAATAAATAAAATTTATAACTATCATTTACAAACAGTAGATTTGTTTTTGTGGTATAACATCTAAGCACTGATGAAAGGACTGTAAATTTGCCCTAGTTTACTGACCTGTCTAATGATACTTAACAAATAATGGATTTAAAATTAACCATAAATACCTTGTTTAAATAGTTCACAGAAAAAATAGAACATAATTTAAATAAGCCTTGCTCAGATTTGGGTAAAGGGAGATTTTATAATCATAGAATCAAATGTATATTTTTACATACATGCATTATATCAATCCACAGCTTAACTATGGTCATTATCAACTGTTAAGATATATGTAGTACAGGGATGAGTAAATTGCATTCTCTCTGCATGGAACCAAAGGTTCTTTTTCATGACCCTCAGTATCCCTTCTGACCTATAGAATAACATAAGTAATAACACCTGAGATTTGGATGGTCCAACCTTGCAGGCCTTTTGAAAAGATGTGGACTGGGTATAGGTTGGACTGGGTATAGGTTGGATTTTATTCTGTACATGAAATATTGATTTTAACTTTTTAAATAATTCTGATTATTTTACTGATTGCCACCCTTAATCACATGTCAACTAAGTTGCCACATAAAACTATATAAAGAATAAATAAATTTGGAGAAAAGCTCACACATATTAAAATAGGCATAACATAATTTAAAAATCTCAAAAGCTTCCAAAACTGCCAGCCAAATTTAGCTTTGTTATACATTTGATGAAATTCCATGCATTTTGCAATCTTCGATTTCCCGCAAAATAATTAAATATGCTATTTTGGTTATCAAAAAATTATCCATCTCTGATTGGGCAAATACTTGTACTTACCAAGTAAAATAGTTCATATAAAATATAAAGACTATGATTCACTAGTTTAAAGCAAATACTATTTAAATCTCTGAAAACACCTAGGTAAAGCAGATTTTGTTTGTAAAATATAAACTGTATTAGAATCACCACCATCTTTAATAAAACTATCTTCAAGTAATCATCTAGTTACTGAAACTCCCCAAGTGATGCCAAATGTCCTTTAAGGTTTTGTCCTAGTAAAAACATTAGACACAGTTAGATTCACACAGCTTTTATTACAAGATCTCAGCATTTCAGTTTATTCTTATATTGCAGTTAGATTAGATAAAATCTCAACTGATTCTGAAATAGATAATACGATTTTGTATCTTAATAGTATTTTGGAAATATTTTTAATTGCCCTTCCCTCACCAAAATAAATAACAGTATCTGAAGAATAACAAAACTCCCTAGAGGCTGTATAGATTAATGTATGGAATAAATATAAAAAAGTACTATATAAAAAAAATCTGTCTATAATATTCCCTGTTGAGGCTTCCTCAAGAAATAAATGAATAATCCATTTAGAAAAGGGAGGTGTTTACTTCCTGCCAAGTCTCCATGAATACCATCTATAACAAATACATTGACATTTGTTGCTATAAGGAATCTATCATTGCACATCAATAACCAAGTTCAGATACCTTCCAAGTAAAAATACTAATCACAAGAGAATATTCTTTTCAATGTGCTTTTTAACTCAAAATTTTAAATACCAGCTAAATTTTCCTATGAATTGCTTATATTAGTGGCTGCTATCTCACTGCAGTATCAACAGTCTATACAGTATTAGATAGTTACAACTGTATGTGTTTTGAGAAACAACAGACAAAAACACTTTAGCTCAGACATGTCAAACACAAGGCCCGGGGGACGGATGCAGCCCGCGAAGTAGTTTCATGTGGCCCATGAAGCCATCCTGGAAACAGTGAGGGAACAGCCCCTGCTGCCTTGGCCCTGGCCCAGGCCGGCCGGGAGCCAATGTACAATTTTGTGGTGGCCATCTATGCTGAAACAATTCAGTCTTAACTCCACAAGGCTCTCTGGAAACAGTGAGGAACCAGCCCCTGCCGCGTCAGCCCCACCCCCTGGGTGCATGCTGGAGAGGTGTCAGCCTTTGTGAGGAATGAAGAAATGCACCATCGCCTGGAAGTGGCCAGCAAATGGCCCTCGCCTACTTCACATATTCGGCTTGATTGGCTCTGGAGGAGGGGTTTTGGCAGGCAGCAGGGTGCTCTCCTCACAGCACCAAGAGGCTGAGCCGGGTGGCGCAAATCCAAAAAGAAACGCAAGGCTGCCCAGCTCCCAGCCTGCCCGGTTTCATCAGGCAGTGGGGTGCTCTTCTCACAGTGCCAAGAGCTGAGCCGGATGGTGCAAATCTGATGAGAAGTGCAATGCTGCCTAGCCCCCAGCCTGCCCAGGTTCAGCAAGCAGCAAGGTGCAAAGCTGGCGAGCTTCGCACTGCCCAGTTCAACTTCTTGGTGCTGTGAGGAGAGCGCCCCACTGCCTGCCAAAACTGGGCAGGCTGGAGGCTGGGCAGCATTGCGCAGGTAACATTGACTTTTACGCTGCTCATGGCATCCCCTCCTCCAGAGGCCACCAAGCCAGATAGGTGAAGTAGGAGAGGGCCATGTGCTGGCCATTTCCAGGCAATGATGCATTTCTTCATTTCTCACAAAGGCTGACACTTCCCAGCTGCGTTTCTTGCTTGTTTTTCTCCCTCCCTAATCTCAAATATTTTCCCACCACTCTGTACTTAGGAAGGAAGGAAGGAAGGAAGGAAGGAAGGAAGGAAGGAAGGAAGGAAGGAAGGAAGGAAGGAAGGAAGGAAAGGAGAGGGAAGCTCTGAGGGAAGTCCTGCCTTAGTCCTGCCCTACTGCCCTTTCATTATCCCCTTGTCCCCTCCTCCTGGCCTATTCTGGGGGTCTCCCATCCTATTGCTAAGAAAGCTTTGGATACAAAGCCGGGTTTCCTCCCTCATACTCATCATGAGCAACCTGAGTAAGGAGAGCAAGCACAACAGCAGCAGCCTTGAGGAAGAGGTAAGGGTTCCCCCTTGGGGAAGTGGGGCTGGGCTTGGTGCCGTGAGTGCTCGAGGGCCAGGCTGGGCATTTGGCCTCTGCTGTCCAAGGCTCCCGGCAGCCCGCACCACCATCCAGTCCCACCCGGATGGCCTGAGAGGAACAGTGAGGCTCCTCCAGTGGACCATGCTTTGGCACTTGCCCCGGTCCCACCCCCTTCTGCCAGAGATCCTCAGATCTGTCCCACTCCTGCCCAGGCCCCCACAGGCACCCTTGATGCAAATGATGTAGAGCTGGCCACACCCACCCAGTAGGCTGCACCCACTCTGGCCACACCCACCCGGCCCTCCGAGGGCAACTGCAATGCTGATGCAGCCTCAATGAAATTAAGTTTGACATCCCTGCTTTAGCTTTATTATCTGATACTTCTTTTGAATAACCAATAGTCAAAGTGAGTGGAACAATGATATTACAATTTTATGCAGGTTGTGCAAGGGCTGGATTTTCAGGGGTTGGTTTGTTAGCTGTTGAAAAAGGTGTATGAAGCCTTTCTAAATATATCTCAATTTTTCTGATACTGAGATGCAAAAGGAGAGGAAAAAATGGAGAAAAATATCTAAAAATTGGTTACATTTCAACTCCCGCATTCATACCCTTAGCCCCTTTGGCTGACCTATTTTCCAGCAGCCACCCATCCCACCAAATTTACATCTCCAATCACTACAGCAACATTATCCTCTTCCACCACCCGAGCTGAGAACATTCCCAAAAAATGGACCATAAGGGAAAATTATCCATGCTGCTTAAAAAGAAAACAAAGTTTTTAATGAAAGAGGAAAACAAGAGAAAAGAGGCTGCTATCTCAAAACCACAATCACCACAGGTGACATAAGATGAAGAATGGAACACACAGATACATGCAGGCAGGTCTGGTAGCCAACCTGTAATTTCTAGATTACTTGCCACAATAGTAGTTGGACAGTAGAATTTACTGATGTTTGAGAGATTTGTTGGAAAGCTCTATGTAACCCTGTGCCCAAACCTCCATGACATATGTTGGCTTGCTTTTATTTGACTTGCCACCAATTTTTTTCATAATTTTATAAGGTAAATTTCCAATATAAACATATTTTTTCAAGGGAAATCTTAGAAGACTGGATTTTGTACAACTTTACCAAAAACAAGGTTTGAATAGGCAATATAATGAAGCCTGACAGGAAATTGCTATGTAATGAGCAAGGATACTCATTTGCATGAGATTCTTCACTCAGCTTAGTTCCTTCCCATCTAAGACCCTAGAATCCCAACCATATCAGACAATTTAAATGGTTCCAAGGAGAAATCTACTGTTAATTGATCTCCATAGAGGATTGCTTTTATTTTTTCTTTCTTCAGATCAGTTATCTCACCATAAGAGAACACAACCTTTTATGCCATAACTGCAAATAAACTTACAGGTAGTCCTTGTTTTAATATCTAAGGGGTACTAATGACTTGCTGTTGCAGTGGTCACATGATTGCAATTTGGATGCCAGCCAACTACCTCCAATGAAACCGCTGCAGGATCCTGTGCTAACATAATCACTATTTGTAATGTTCACTGCCAACTTCTGGCAAGCAAAGTCAATGGGGAAGCCAAGAAGAGATCACAAATGGCGATGATGTGACCACAGAATACTGTGACCATGTGAGATTCGCCTACAACAATGGCAACTGGAACTGCTGGAATTGCTGTAGTAAGTTGGCATGCTCATATGAAACTATACTTTATGACAGCATCACTTAGTGACAGAGTTCCCAATTCTAATTACTGGTAAGTAAGAAATACCTATAAAGGCTTTACTATGTTTTTGAAAGTTGACCAGAGCACTTCTATCTATGTGACACTGTAAGATTGGTAAAGCAGGATCTCCTTTTTATATATCATGCTGATTTCATTCATAGGGAAACCTATAATATATGTTTATTAATTAGTTTCAGAATGCTTCCTACCAATTTTTTGAGGATAGAAATCAGATTCAGTGTACCTTAATTTTTTGATCCATGTAAAAAAACAGTCTGGTAAAAAAAATAATAATCACCTGGTTGCTTTTCAATTCTTTAGTAAGGAGGCACATTACTTCAGTCTAAATTAGTTTTAGATTGCTCCCTAACAAAACCTAGCAGTACATATGCTTTTAAAAGTACAATCCTGCATTTGTTTATGGAGAAATATATTTCATTGATCTCAGTGATGTTTATTCTCAAGTAACTATGCATTGCAGTATAATGCATCATTATCAGTTATCCAAACTTTGTCTTTGAAGTTAATAGCTAAGGGTATTCAAATTACAATACATGGCAAGACAAAATATTATCTAGCTCAATAACGTTATCGTTATAAAATATAGCTTTAATTACAAGAAAATTAAATTCTTACACCAATACTATAATTGAATATTAGTCAGTATATTTTAATAAAATTCAATGTATTAAGTCATTCAAGTATATGCCTGTTAAAAATATCAAGAATAAAAAGGTAGAAGTAGTTTTTAACATATTTCAGAAAAAAACTGTTGATTAGATTGCTGGATCACACTTTATGATGCCAACCTATTCCCACTTTTTCTATGCCGCTAACAAGATGCGAGCAGATGTTTTCATTATATATTATGTGAATATTTACATACACCTTCTGGGCAGTTTGGAAGTGTCATAAAAACAAACACGTCAAGTATAAATATTAAATTATGCATCTAACTCTTTGATAATCCAGTCTGAAAGTGGTGATGGGGTGATTCTAAACTTGTAGATTCAGAAGTAAGTCCTGCCAATTTCAAATGAACTTCTATGTTATGTGAGTGTATGGGGGACTGCAGCCTATATTTTCTAAATAGCTCATTTTAATTGAAAGCATTATGTATTTTTCATGATTGATTCCAATTTGAAAAGAGACATTTTTGTCAAAACATTCAGCTGAGTATTATACTGGTTTTGTTCTTCAAGTGAATATGTGCATCAATAAATTATCTTAAACAAACACTGTATTTTTTTATAAGTTAATTTAAGACTAGTCTCTTTAACAATTGTTCAGTGCTGTTGATTGAACATTGCAAAACCATGTCAAAACATTTACCTGACAGACATCTTTGCTCTTCCATTTACTTAGTACACACTGACTGTTTTGCATCAGTTCCTGAAAGAAAACAGAAAGTAGACAGTGAATAGATGACTATAGACATTTCACATGTGGTTAAAGTTCTTCTGTTTTTCAAAGGGGAAAGATTGCCTGACATCTAAAACAAAGATGCAACTGTTTTGGATATCCCACCATACAAAAGCCAATTTATCACCAGAAGGAGATGATCTTTTGGAAAATTAAAGGTGTTGAAAGAGATTTGAAAGCCTGGATTAATTATTAATCTTTCTGAAAAATACCTCTAGCTCCTTAAGTGTGTCTTGAAGCTTTTCTGGACGTTTGTTCTTAAGTACCCAAGGATAATTTCGAGCTAGCAAATAAAATAAATAAGATATTGCATGCCATAATGAATAACTGTAACCAGTACTTGATTTGAATCCATAGTTTATGAATAATCTTAACATAAAACATTTAAACACTGAAAAGAACACATTAAAAGGAATGTAGTTTTTCACTGCATTATGAACATTATCAATCCCATTATCGATTTGTTTATAATTTAAAGTGTCAACTTTCAAAATAAGTTAAATATTTATTCAAAGTATGAACATTTACCACTAAAAGTCTACATAACATGGATTCAGCAATCTACAGAATATCTGTCAGCTATGAGTCTGCTAGTTTCTGACAATGTACAGTAAGTCTTTGCCACTGCCACCAAAGCATGACTGAGAAGGAGGGTCTTCTCTGTGATCAAGCCTGGATTATGGAACACATTATCATGAAAGTCCTACTTGGCCCTTCTTCTGTCTGAGAAGTCCTTATTTTTCCAGATGTCTGACTGTCCAAGTTGAGGAGTTTTGTTAGTTTGGCCCTTTGCTTTTAAGTTTTTTCTAACTTTACTGTCTTTACTTCTACATGGGTCTCTTATTATTCATTTATTTATGGGTTTATGACTTTTGAATTACTATGAACGCTTATGTACTATATTTATAGCGGAAGAATGTAAATCTTGTTGAATTTATAAATAACTGCTTAGGAAGGCCATACAAGTAAATACTATTGTATTGTAGGAACAACAGCAATAGCACTTAAGACTTATATACTGCCCCATAGTGCTTTACAGCACTCTCTGACAGCATGCAGAAAAGAACCACTCATCCATAATGCTGGGATGAAATTGAGTGGGTCAGGGATTGCTGCAATATTGTGGGTGGCCAATTGACATGTGATGGGTGGGTTGAACAGTTGAATTACAAATGCTGCTTCCCTTGCTTCAATTACTGATTGACTGTTTAGATTGCTTAATGTGATACTCATTTTTGAACACTCTAGCTGAGGCTATGGAGCATCAGTGGGTCATAAATGTAGGGAAGCAATGACAGGAGGCATTGGGTTGATTGTTGCTGTTGATTGAACAAAGGCCTTGGTGGGTGTCTCCAGTTGTCCTTCTTTCCTGCATCTTGATGACTTCAGTTGTTGTCTGCCTCAGCTTCCAGCTGCTGTAAGGTAACCCCAAATCTATCGGTATATACAGGTACAGAAGGGAAAAGGAATGGGACATTGAGCTGCAATGAAATCTGCATTCTGGACACTGTAACAGCTCTAATTGTAAGAAAGGCATTATGGCTTTTTTATAAGACCTTAGTTGTAAAAGCTAAATGACAGCATTATAGAGCTATGTGACTTCAATATCCATGTCCTGAGTGTGGGTTCAGATTGGGATTGGGCTTTCATGACCTCCATTCAGGAAGTAGTAGACTCATATCCAGCTGTTTGTTCAGCATTCTGGATAGAGATGAGAATTTCCTACAGGCTGTGATATTTTTGCAGGATTGTCATAGATAAAATCACTCTAATTTCTCAAAGTTAGATACCACTTGAGCAAAATCTTGCAAGATAACTTAGGCAGATCATCTTCTTTGAGAAAGATTGAAGAATCTGTGCCTCTTATTTTGGACAGCTATCTGGGATGTGGATACAGGAGGTGACCGTTTTCTCTTTGAACCAGGCAGTGATTCAACCTCTTCAGAAAAAGTAATTTCTTCACCTATCCTTGCTAGATAACCTCCATCCACTCTCTAATCTCTGCTTTCCTATCATGAAAATATTATGGACCAGGTGGTAGGAGTTCCATTATAAAGATTCTAAAGGAAACAAATAGGCTATTTCCTTTCCAATCAGGAGTCAGGCCCACACATTGGATGCAAATAGCAATGGTTGTCTTGGTTGACAATCTCTGTTGAGAAGTAGAGAGTGTGTACTTCTCCTGACCCTATTACTAGCCCTACTGGCATTCATTTGGGCCACTTAAAAAGAATTGGAACTGGGAAGATTATAGTGGTTCTACTACTTCCTGAATGAATAATATCTACTGCAGCAAAAACAATTGAGCTCTTGTTACTCTAGTCTGGAATGACACAGCGTTCATTCCTCTTTCTCATGCTGTTAAACTTCTATCTGAAACTACTTGGAGCGTTTATCTGTCAGTTTGAGGTGAGATATTAATATGATAAGGGCCATGAATGTTCTGGAGATCCTAATTAAATTTCCTTTGTAAGCAGAGGCCTGCTTAGTAATGGGGAACCAGTTTAGTAGCATTACAGTTTTGATTTGATTGCTGCTTAGTTTCCAATAGGCTCCTAGCTTCAATTCAAGATATTAGCCTTAATCTTTAAAGCCCAACTTATCACAACACTCATATTTCGTCAGGATGCTCTCACCCAAATGGAATCAGTCCATTGAGTGGGTTCATCTTAAGAAAGACTGCTGAGGATCCCCACACTATGTGAAGTGAAAGAATTAGTATCAGTCATGGAGTTTGTAATTTGAGAGAAATAGAGGGCAGAACTTAATATTTTCTTTTGTAATAGTTCTTCTACCCCACCCAACTCCTTCATGAGGTTCAATAGAAAAAAAACCAAATAATTTATTTGAACCCTGGTGCTTTCTACATGTTTTGGATTCTACATTTCCACCAGCCTGATTGTAATGAATGAGAACAATAAGACCTATAGTCCAAAAGATGTGCAAAGAAACAGAAAGTCTATCTCTGGGACAAGTTGCTACTTCTCTGACAAAGAAGCCCTCTCATCTAGAAAGCTACTTCTATATCTGATTTTTAAAAAAGCAAAATTAAAGAAAAATATACATTTACATATTTGTACATTTATTTGCAGTTAACAAGAAAACGGGAAATACTCTTACATTCTGCAAATTGTTGCTTCTCATATAAATAACCAACTTTAATTTGCGGCTCTACAAGAAAAAAAAACAAAGTTGAACTATCTTAATTTCTATTGTCAGCAAACTGCTATTTTATATTTTGAAAAAATAAAAGTATTTCATAGGAGAAAAACAATGCTGGTCTATAACTGTAATAAAGATTTGATTGGGTGAAAATTTAAAATTGTTTCCTTCTCTGGTAAACTAAATTTGCTGTAAAATGGAAGCAATTTCAACAGACGCAATGATACTAAACAAGTTTTATTCTAATTAACTTGACAACCGAATCCAAACCAGAACTAGTCTGTGCTGCTTGTGGAGGCAGCATGGAATGCTGACACAAACTACCACTTTAATGTGGACCAAAACAGGAAGTCATTCTAGCTGAAAAGACCTTTTGGCCCATCATGAATCTTCTAGGATTAAAAAATTTAATCAGATAAAGAAAATTGATCATTCGCTCTGAAATGCCCATTTCAAATATCAGAAAAGGAGGATCCAGGAGACCAATATCACTGCATTCCCATGAATTTACAATGCCCTCTACTGGATCTTCAATAAATAAAGTGTAACAGGCTCTATCAATTCAATATATTGTACCTTATATTTTTTATATAAGAAATTGAAAACTTCTGAAGAATATACTTTTTTGTTGAAAAAATGTTTAAAAGTAGGTTGAATTAATGGCTAACTAGTGGCAGAGCAAAGTAATTTGGAATAGTTTTGGTTTATGAGGAGAAAAGTTGGACAAGATCTTTGTTAAAACAAGGAAGTAGAAAATTGTAGAAATATCTGAAATCTCATCAACAAATAAAAGCCATACTATAAAAACAAGACAGGTAAGAGAAGTGGGAATACAAGGAAGATAATGTACAAGTCCACATGTACAATCTTAAGAAATTACCTTAACAAGATGTGCAGACTTAAATATTATATGATTTACTACATATTATACAAGTTTCAAACTACACTATGACTATTGGAATAAAATAGGCACTTAATGACCAAATTACTCATTGTTGAAAATACACTACATAAATACGTAAACATAAAAACATAAAATTTCTGAAATGCTGAATTTTTAACTGTAATCTTATTACAACTTTTATTATAAGTGGCAAAATTTTACCTGGTTCGTTCTTTTCGTGGTACTGATAGACACCAATATCTTTGTCTAGAAAATTAATGAAATGCAACCTTAATTATGGCACTTAAAACCGAGCAAATTTCTTTGCTCATTATAGTAAAGTAAAGCATGCAGTGACATAAATATAATTCAAGTTACCAGGCACAAATGCATAAGTGACAATTTCATATAGGCGTAATTTAGATACACATACATTTACATGTGAATACCTGAAAATTTTTTTATTGCAATTACAACACAGTACATAACAAAAAGTATCTATTGTAGCATATTAAATAGTCTGATAGAAGTTTGCCTTGTGTTACAGAATTGGGATATTATCCTCTCTGAAATAAGTAGCAAAGAAGTCTGACAATCTAACTCACTTTCAGCCCAAAGTTTTACAAGTAAGTATTCTTTCCTGCAAAGTTTTAAACAGCTAGGAAATCAAGTTAGAAATCACCACTTTTGTTCAGATAGTGTTTATCCGATAATGAATGTTGTCTCTTGTTGGAGAATGATTAACAAGCTTTTGTACATTGTATGAATCTGGAAACTAAGTGCAATGCACCACATTAAGATTAATATTAACATGATTTGATAAGTTTCTTTAAAAATTGGAAAAAAAATAACATCTGTTTACCTTCAACATATAAGTTGCTTTTCACCGACCAGAGGTGCATTTCAGAAAGAAAGACAGTCATCTATAACAGTATGCACTTATTTCTAGAGCAAAAAGAGATGAAAACAGCAGTAAGATGAAAGATAATGAAATTCCTTTATTATTGTACAACTGTAGGACCTAGCTTCCTGGATGAGAAGCAAAAACGTCTTCACACAAAACAAAGAAGTCCAGTTGCCATTTGAAAGAAAGCACCTGGATGACTGAGAACCTCTATAGACATGTAGACCTAAGAACACTATATTTTTAATAGGCTGACATTTACTAACTGTACTTGTTTACTGATCTAATTTAAACTGAATAAATTAAATCAAATTAAGTTAGTTCAATTTATAATTCAATTTAAACAATATATATAGACTTATTTCCCTAATTTTCTACCTTAAAGTGTATTTAGTTGCATACCTTTCCCAACAGAACCAATGATTCAGATTCCCCACTTTACTGTGTTCCCAGATCTGTTCTAAAGATTTGGAGACTCACCGCAGGCGACTTGGGATTATGTAAAGAATGCAAATAGGAGAGAAAAGGAGAGAATGCCAATAGTACTAGCAGATCTTGTATGTACCCTCTGAAATCAGGTGTTGTTGAAAAGGAGTGCTTGAATGTAACATAATCATACTGCCATAGATCTTGGCAGTAAAGCTGCAGAGTAATAATTTACATAAAAGACTAGCAATTGCTTTTTGAGTAGATGATGGTGGTGATGCCTGCAGAATGCAAATACAATTGAAGGACATTTAAGGTGAGGAAAAAAAGCAGCCATGATGTGAAATTCAGAGAACAGCCAGGAAATAATATCAGAATGTTATACTATGCCTTGAAATGACACCTTGCAGACTTTTTTTTAAAAAAATGCACAAAATAGCTTATAAGAGCTATTTATCTTTGTTACCTTCTGGGAGGAGGCTTTGTGGTATCCAAAGCAGAACTAATAGATTCTGTAATAGCTTTGTACCTTATAGTATCAACCTTGTTAACTCTCAAGACTCTTTTTTCCATGTATTCAAAATGGACTGCGATGTGTGTGTGTGTGTGTGTGTGTGTGTGTGTGGGTGTGTATATTTTGTTTGTATGTATAGCATATGTATACATGTATGGATGTATGTGTATGTGTATGACCTCTCTCAAGTCCCTGGATATTAACACCATCTCTTGGGAACTTCTGGCATATGATCAACCGACATGGCGTACCTTGGTGTACCAGGGTTGCCAGACATATGAACACAGAAGGACAATCTTGGCACAAGAGAAGCGAGCACTCCGCAAAGCCAGAGCTGTGAATGCTGAAGTAACAGTGTCTACATTTCTTTGTTCAGTATGTGGCAGAATATTCCGTGCTAACATCGGTTTTATTAGCCACTTACGGACACATCGTTGATGGCCCATAACCCACAAGATGTTAAGGTCTTCATCGAAATCGATGGACAAACAACATGTGTATGGGTACATTTTTTTGGGGGGGGGAGAGTGGGCATCAGAATTTCATTTTTAATGTGTGCCACTGTATTCACAGGAAAAAAATGACAATAAAGTTTATCTTATCTTAAAACAATCTTAAGAACCATTGAAAACACCCACTGATTTTTTCATATCTCTGCTGTGTAAATACTTAATGGTATTTATATATTTATTTAATTACCAAACATAAAAGGAAGTATTTAATTTAGTCCTTCTATAAAAGGAAGTTTATACAGTTTATTGAGGTGATAATTTTTAGTAGGAAGAAATGATAGTTAAGAATTTCAGTATTCTGTTATATCTTGATGTCTTGCTCACTGATGAATCCAGTAAGCAAATATTAAAATATTTACTCTCCGCAGTACAAAATAATTAATTAGTTAGCAGTTCAAGTGATCATCTGTCAATTCACATGCATAATTATATACTTATGCATAGCCCCAAGTGAAAATGTTTAGATCTTAAGGGTCTTCGATGTGAACTCCATCCATTCATAACATGCTGTTAGGCATGGCTCTCACTGAACTCAGTTCTGCTCCTAAAATCACTGCAGATAATCTGAAGAAAAAAAGACTAAATATATAAGAGGACAGGTTGTCTGACTTTATAAACAACATGTGAAAAACTATAGTTAAAAGATAAGCAACCAGTTTTTCATTATGATCTCTGCAATTCACATATAGATGGCTTGCAAGCTTTTCATCTGAATCAGCTGGATAAAGGTGGAGAGATGAACCCATATAGCTGCCTGATATAGTTCTTGAATGGTTATGACTGGAAGAAGTGTGAGAAAGTTGGCATTCAGCAAATTTATTTATTTATTTATTTTATATATCAAACTTCTTAACCATCCATCTCACTCATAGAGGGGCACTGGGCGGTGTACAATTTAATCAATATAGTAAAACATTAAAAACTGGATAATTTAAGATTAAAAAATGTTGAACCTATACATGTTATGGAAATAATGGAGTTTTCCTTGCCATATATTAAGTTCCATTTTTAATCTGAGAGCAATACAATCTGAAATAGAATTTCAGTACATGTCAATGACCAAAACTGCATAAAGAATATTCCAAGCACGGCAACTGTTTGGCCATCCATGATCTTCGAAAAGGAGCAAAATGTCCACAAATGCTACACAAGGAGTAGACATATAACTAAGGAGTCAAAAGAGTAAATTGGTTTTTGTTAAATGTATGAATATATTCTTTACTAAGATAGAACAAAGTTGGTATTTATCAAAAGTAAATCCAGCCATGTTATAGAGCAGTGATGGCGAACCTTCTAGAGACCGAGTGCCCAAACTGCAACCCAAAACCCACTTATGTATTGACAGGTGCCGGGTGGGCGTGGCCCATTGGGTGGGCGTGGCTGCCATGGTAATGCCAGACTGAGTGGGACTAAAAAGTTCAATCAATCAATTCCAACTTTGTGAGATCTTTTTTTTCCCCCGTGAGAAGTTGAAATTGATTGATTGAACCATTTTTATTTTTTATTTTGCACACGGCGCTGGAGGCCTAAAGCGAAAAGGTTTTATAAAACCCAGCTGAAGGCCTAGGACTGGGGCGATGGCGTGCGTGCCCACAGAGAGGGCTCTGCGTGCCACCTGTGGCATGCATGCCATAGGTTCGCCACCAAGGTTATAGGGAATAATGCTATGTTCCTTGAAATAGGTTAAATTCCCTTTTGTTCCAAGTCAGAGTTGAGTCAAAGCTGATCTGTACGAATAGAGTCAGTTTATTACTTCTTGTGTCATTTGATTATGTGCCATCTGGTGTCAGCTCTTAATGACCACTTAGATTTTCTGCAGGATGATCTGTCTCCAATCTGCTTTTATATTTCCTCATCATAAATGACCAGAGCTGGTTCTCATTTTGACAAGAGGTCTACTGAATGTTTCCAAAACAATCAAGTGAAGATAGTTCTGCCTTCATAAAAACACATTTCTAACACCCAAAAAAACCCCAACCCCAACCCCAATATATATATTGCGTTTGGAAGTAGAATATTTGCTTGAATTTTTGTGTTGTGATCTTAATTTTAGTAAATATTACCATATCATTAATGCTGTGAAGTTATATTAGTTTAAAACAAAAATTACTATTATTAATATCAGTAATCATTTGTAATAATATGTAAATGATGGAATTCATATTATTTATTTTTTATAATGATATATTCTTCACTTGAGTATGCTTTGTTGAGCAATGGACATCCCCTCTCTCTCATATTGCATTAAAATGTGTTTTCAGAGTATTAAAATTAAAAATGAGAAAAATTAGAGAATCTCAAAGTAATTAAAAGACAAACATCCTTTCACCATCAAAAACAAACTAAAGGAGCTACACTTCACTGATTGGTACATATGGGTGTGGTTCTTGTGAAACAGCTTTAAGCTTTAGAAGTACAGAGCAGGGCTCCAAAAAGGCTCACAACTGATATATATGAAATAGAGACCAAAATGAATTTTATGGATTAGTGTTACTTCAATAAATAATATTAGATCAAGTTGGTATTATAGTTCAGTAACTTTTCTCACTCAATCAGATTCTACATATTTGGTTAGTACTATTGCATACTCTTTCTGATTTTAGATTGAGTTGAGACAAGAAATTATTTTCATCTATAACTGTTATTTATTTCTAAAACACTAACAAAGACTACATTGTCTACTCTATAAGCTTCTCTCTCATGCTTAGAAGGTTAAACTTTGAACCTAGGAACAATGAACAGTTTGCCTGTGGTTAAGTGTTCCTATACCTCTCTTTGCTCACAGCTTTTGATACTTCCTGAAAATTCCAATAGTAACTTGTACAGCATAAATGAAGGTGAGTTAGTGAAAGTGCAGGGCTCCACCATCTTTGGTAGAATTATGGAGGAATTTATCATATTGCTGCCGCTTCCAGCATCCCTCACCATTGGTCATATTAGCAGGGTCAGCTGAACTTTGTTATCCAGTAATACAGTTCCTACCACTGACTAGATATTTTGGATCCAAGACAACATTAGACAAGGCATGCTAGGATAAATACAAGATGGAAAAAACAGGTAGATAGATATTAAATAGCATATGAACAAACATGTTTTAAATAATCATTAAGATGTACCGATATATGCAAGAAGATAAGGAACTGAATGATCCCTGGAACGAGCCAATTTAAGGAATTAAAAGTTTTGGAAACATGTGGAGAGGGCATGAAGGGAAGATGTGGGTTAAAGTGAATGAATACGTTTTAAAAAAATCAGGGGTAACAAAATTATTGAGTGAGCAGAAGGAAATGTATGCAGATGGAAGAAAAACATAGATTTGGCAAGTTATACCAGGGGTGGTCAACCTTGGCTCTTTTATGACTCGTGGACTTCAACTCCCAGAATTCCTGAGCCAACTAAGCTGGAATGGCTCAGGAATTCTGGGAGTTGAAGTCCACGAGTCATAAAAGAGCCAAGGTTGACTACCCCTGAGTTATACTATTAAAATTGAGACAAAATTGTTGAATGGAACTATACAGAGAATGGGTTATTATTTCTGGTAATGTTTAATAGCTTTTATTTTTTTTTCTGTGTACACTGTTTAATTGTTAAGAGAGGGATGAGGGGGATTTAGATTAAATGAAAAGGGGGATTATATATTTATATTGTTAGGCATTTTTGTTAATTTTTACTGGACCTTTGCTGATTAAGAAGAACTGAAGATTTAGAGAGGAGTTGATAGAAAATGGGATGAGGAATGAGACGAAGATAGACCTGATTATTATATTTTAAGAGACAGTGTTAAATTGTTAATGTTGAATATGTTTGCTGCAGTTAAAGGAGAAAATTTCTTTTTCTTACTATCTTTCTTGGGGGGGGGGGTTCCACACTTTCTTTTTTAAAATATATTTCTGTATTAGTTTTTGTATTATTTTATATAATCCTTAATAAAATTGTTGAGAAAAAAAGGAATTGTGCAAAGAAAAAAAAATCCGATACTGAGATTATAAGTGGGTGTAATGGGTAAAATAGTTTAATTAATGGAAGAAAAGTAAAAGAAAGGATGACATAAAAATTCCTGTTTGAGGAAGGATGTCTATAAAGATTCTCAATCATCCAGGTCATGGTTGTCTCAAAGGTGCTTTTCCAAAAGGCAAGTGGACTTTCTTGTTTTTTTTCTTTGAAAACATTTTGCTTCTTGGATGAGAAATGAAACATTTTCAAAGAAAAAAACCCAAGAAAATCCAGTTGCCTTTTGGAAAAGCATCTTTGGGATATTTGAGGAAGGGCTGCTGTTTTTAGGCAGAGCTGAAAAACACTAACATTTTAATTTCATTTAATTTCTGCTTGTTTGTTATGTTAAATACCATTATACTAACGAAAAAGATATATTCTTTTCTCACATGTTCATTTCTTGTGTTAACTCACGTTAAAGTAGGTTTTTTTTTCCTACACAGTGTTTTACATTTCACTGAATAGGAAGAAGGTAAAAGAAACTGAATTTTCCTCTATTTTGTTTCTCCCTCTGGTATATTGTACTGTACATGCCTTTTTAATTCTCCAAATGAGATTCTGTATAGAAAGTAACCCTGGAAAATTGGATAGGGACATGACCCATAATTTAGCATTAAAGTAGGTTTACTTTAGCTGTATTGACCATATTAAGAGAGTGCAAAGTTTGTTTTCTCCTCAAATTATTTATATATTCAGAAAGGAAACATTAGAGGAGTCTATGTTAACAGCATGTTAGTATTTTAAAATGCTAAACGTTTCCAAATGTATCATTTTACAAATGTATCGTGTACCACAAACAGAGGGATAAATAAGCTAGTATACAGTATGATTGGAAAGTTACACTGAAACTTTTATTGTCACAAGAAAACCAACCATGAGTTGTATAATAACCACTGGGAACAAAACATTATCTGATTACCTAAGAATAGTGGCATGAAAATCACACACTGTAAACTTATTTCCATTTGCTAAGAAGTTGTTTCATGCTTCACTGAATTAATTCTTCACATTAGAAGCCTGAATATAAGACCTATCTTTTGAAATTACAAGTGGTCATGTCATAGCAATAGTGCATTCAGTTTTAATATATTCACATGTGTAATAACACCAAAATTATATCTTGAACTAAAATTCTTGTTTGCAGCAAATACATGAGCTAGAACATTTTTGATTCAACTAGGCTTCCAGTTTCACAGAAAGAACAAATTACAGTTCTTAAGTCTAATAGTATCCATAGCTCTGGTTTAAAATTTTAGGGAATCATTATAAGCCACTTGAATAATAAACCCTAATCTCTCATTACTCCGCAGTTACTGTACGTGTGGACATACATCTTGTATAAGATTTAATAATATTTGAAAGCAAATTATGAAACCCATCCAAATTCTAAGAATACCTTTGATACAAAAACATTGAAAGTAAATATGTGCATAAGCTTCCCATTTTTCAGTCTAATGGATAATATCCCAAAACAATCCCTTTTATTCTGATATTACATAGATATGAAAAAACAGATTTTCTCCTTTTGTGAATACTAAAAAAATATTCCATATTCTACTTGTTTTTTAAAATAAATAGTAATTATTGTTCTAACATGATTTTGAAAGCCACTTTTTAAATCATATATAAAACAAGAGTTATAATAAGCACTGCTATATTTCAATCAACTTCAGATAATATGAATGGTTATCAGTGAATTTCACTTTCGATATTAATGAAGTCATTTTGTTTAAGCTGATTTTGGAAGCTAGGTTTTTTTTCAAAAATAATTTCATAAAAGTTAAAAATAAAAAAGTCAAAGAAAACACAATAAAAATTATTAGAGCTTTAACAAGGTAGGATTAAAAACTTATTTTTTTAATTTGCCAAAATCTTTAAAAGTGTGTCCATAGTATTTGAAAGCAAATGAATGATTCCAGCTAGAATAAAGCTATCCAATCAGTCAAATACAGAAATGTGAAATGCCAACAATACAGAAGAAAACTTTTAAGTATTATAATTAATAGTTACAAGTTATTTTTTCAGACAGTAAATATTGTGTTATATCATGTTATTTTCAGTTTAGAATATTGTCATAGAAAAGTTGTAGGTACAAAGTCAGTTTAGGTCTATTGAAGTCAAATATTCTCCCTGAAATGGTTCATGATTTAATACATTTTGTTGCATTTACAGTGAAATAATGCAGCGTGTCCTTTTATAAATAAGAAGTAGAAAAAGACTTCGATTAATGATTTGATCAATGACCTCAATAATTGCATTCAAATAATTATGAAAAATAAATAGGTACTAGTATAAACGTAAATGTAAATATGGGATAACTAATTATTTTACTGTTTTCAATGTGTGCATTGTTTTAAGCAGGATAGGAAGGCCCGGAGGAACATTGTCCATGGGGTCATGATGGGTAGGACACGACTTCGCAACAAACAACAAAAACATTGTTTTAATGAATTATTTGGTACATTTTTTTGGAAGTTAAAAGCCTTATTTATTTAAAACAGAACATTTTTAGTCATTCTTTTTCTACATAAATATGCTGTTCTAAGACATGCTATGTAGTAAGTCCTAATGGATTTGCATGGTGCTAATAGTATCAAGGCACTTTCAAGACAGATATTAGTGAAAAAAGGTATATCATGCAAACTGAAATACTTTACAAAATTGAAATGAAAATATTTTTACAACCCTTGCCACTGGCTAAAATAAACAATGATAGTGTTCTACAAATGCTACTTCCATTCATTCCATGACACTCTACACTTTATGTACTTATCTTCTAGTCTATCATTATAGACATTCTTTTTCATGGTTCTTAAATGACAAACTATTGCAGAAGACAGTACTAAGAACCACCTCATACATTACAGCCAACATGAAGAGATTGCTGGCTTGCAATAAGGGAGCTCAAAAAACCTTATGTGAAAAGTCATTATGAATTTGGCACGCTTGTAAGGCAGGACGTAAATGTATTAAGCCTCCCAATTCTTATTCTGAGATTTATGTGGCAGAACACATCACACCACGAAAAGTGACCATATACTGCTGAAATTTAGCTGTACAATCTTGAAGAACTCTGCAGGCAGAAAAATAGTGTGTGGAGGCTACTGAGTTTACCATCCTTATTCTATGGTGAGCAGATTAGTACACACAGCAAGAGATGACCATACAACTTGAAATACCCAGGTTTTCTTTGGACTGGAAAACTAGGGTTATCCCTAATCTTACTATCCAAGGAATCCAGCCTTTTAAAAAGAAATGTATAAACATTTAGAATATTTATTATTCAATTAATACTTTTTCCAAATAAACAAGAGAAATAACTTGGTATGCTAATCTTTTCTTCCTGTGTTTGGCATATTCTTACACTTTTAATTTTCAGCTCAAGCGGGAGATCTTAAGCCATGATTACCAGTTGTCTCTATTAAAAAATAATTTAGCAAAACGTATATTAAATTTTACATTCCCCAAATTTAGGAAAGCTTTATCCTTAGCTTGATTTAATGTTCTTCCCACAATTCTCCTGAAAAGGAAATATAGGAAAACCCCATATGAAACCCAATACTGTCCCTGTGATATGAGGATCATAGAAATCACAGCCAATGTTCTTCTGTGCTGTCAGTTCTATAGGGACATTCGTCATGAGCTGATTTTATTTAAATTTCCAGGGCATTCTGATAGTTTTTATGTGCATTAACTATTAAATAATAAAGATAAATTTATACTTCTAAAAGTAGTAAAATGTTGCTACATTATCAGCCCACAAATGGTTGCTAATAGTTCTTGTTGGAGGATAGTTTTGTGTTCATTTGTTTATATTTTTTGGTCAATGACTGAAATAAAGTTCTGTCTGTCTATATTAAATTTAATTTTATATAAGATTCAATTCAATTTAAAAGTCTTCACTGAAGACTTTTGGATATTTTTATATTAGCAGTTGTCCTACTTTCTAGAATTACATGAATAGGTATATTTTCTACATTTATATTCATATTTCTGCATTTAAATGAATAGTCATGTTTTTATTGCACATATAAAATGACAACCTTAAATCTCTCATATTTATCACGATGATGTATATGAGATTATTTGCAATAATATGAATAAAGTATAAGAATTAGATCACAGACTCTAGGCAAAACCTGTCTCTTTGAATGAGATATTGTTATTTCTGTTGAAACCTTACATAGAAAACTATGTTTTGTTTAGGTATTTTCAAGACCTGTTAAAAAATTTTTTCTGATGATGGAGTACATCATAAAAAAACCACTTTGTGTTTTACTGATTAAAGTTATAGAATATTTACCAGTAAACTGAAATAATAGGCAACAAAACTACTTGCAGCATTAAAGGTACCCTGGATACATTAGGTATGCTTTATTTAAAAAAATATTTATTTACTTCTTTATTCAATATGTATACCCAGCTGCATATATTCAAAAGACATTTGATACTATAATTACCCTACTGTAGTTTGATCTATAACAAACTCTTCAATAATGCTTTACATTCATTTAATTTTATCCACTGCTGTTTATGGTATTAACAAAAAAATGTAAAATCTGCTTTTTCTTTTAGTGTTGCTTAAAAGTATAATTTGTCTGGGTACTAAAAGGAACAGAAAAGATATACTGGAATCTAAGAAGTCGGATGAAGTTTCATTGCAGAAATACCCTGTAATGGCTACAAAGCAGAGTACTTACTAAAGCAACTATCCAAGCCTTCGGATCATAAAGAATGTGGAAAAGTTGATCTGCCAGAGTCACAAATGATGAGTTGGTCGATTTTATAAGTTCTTTAATTCAATTAAAAATAATAAATATATATACACATACATATACCACATTGCTGGTGTACTCAATATGAATAAAAGAAAATAAAAAGAGTTGCTTAAATCGTTCATCTTTTTAGCAGGAGAAACAGCAATACTGCAGATTACCCCATGTGAAACCTGGAAAAAGACTGTTAATTTCTGCTTTTACTGCTATCATTAAAATCAAATTAAACTTGAATCTAACTAACAAATGTTAGATAATTGAAAAAAATCTAACTCAAATATACAAGAAACTTTCATAATCAGGCAAAGGGCTACTGCTTAGCGGTAGTACCAGTGCTTTAATGTAAATAACTCTCATGTTTAATCCCAAACCTCTGCAGGCAGGAGTGGAAAACACCATCTTATGAAATCCTGGGAAGCTAATGTCAGTGAGTATATATTCTACTGAGAAAGATAGATTATAAAATAAGATTGCTTCCTTCTGCTGCCACTCAATTCCATTCCCTTTCACATATGAAACCTCATTGGCCAGAAATATTACAGGCACCTGGGAAACACTTTTACCATAAAAGTAGTGAGAACAGGTTGATCAATAAAATGTGAAAAAAGAAAAATATTTCCATGATTCTCTTAACAACTAACCCAAAACCTCATTTTTATAACTGAGGAAATGGGAGGAAATAGAAAAAAGATGCAAAGTCAATACATTTCACACAATGTGATTTTAGGGCCTACTGCCAAAAACTGTCTTCATGATAAAAAGAAATGTCTAAAAAACATAGCCTTCTGTTTAAACTTTAAAACTGGCCCGAAGGCTGGCTCTTGCACAAAATACATAAATTATCCAGTTTAGGTTAAAGATACCAAACACACAATTTCTGTTTCTAGTACATTAACAAGAGCTCTTTCAGACACAAATAAATAATTTTTAACAACCATGCCGTTTGTACTATGAGATAATATTAGGCCTAAAGGGCTCAAAAAGTCCAAAGTGAAAAAACAGCTTATTTTCCTGGTACACAAGAGATAGAAAGAATATTTTTCTATCGATGGCTCTGTAATTTCACAGGATACCTATCTTCTCTAAGGGAGCCTTTCAGAAATGCTTTTATCATTGCTCAGGTAGAAAAGGAACTAGCTATTTTAATATATTGAGCTTCCGATTTAATTGTTTCCAAAAAAAAAACAAAGTATCTTTTTGAACAATGAAATAGAGTAGAAAAGTTAGAAAGCAACTCAGAAACCTAAAATGGTTTTCTATCACAGCTAGGAACAGAATCCAGTTACTCTCTCCACAGTTGTCTTTAAAAATGCATAAATGAATGCTGTATTAATTGTTGCAGTTTTTATCTTTTACTTTAAAAAAAATCAGTACTATACCAAATCATGAACATTTAGTTTACATATTTATACATAAACTAAATGTGTTAGAATAAAAGTAGGAGTTTTTAGAGCATTTACCCCACCAAACCCTGATTCATAGTTCCTGCTATATATTTTACTGAAGACACTTAAAATTGCCCTCTACTTCATATTGGGATAATTACATGGAAGAATTTTGCATGATAAACCTTACTAGATTTATGGCTCTGGCCACTTTCAAGATGTCTTTTTTTCCCCAGTGGAAGTTCTTTTAATTAGTATGCCATCCTGCCAACTTGTCAGCTTTAAAATTGGAAAACATTCTCCTAACATGTGTTTTCTGTTCACTGATGACAATACAAATCATATTAAATGTGTTTGTATAATTAGATGGAAGAGATGCCCTCAATGTAATATTTATATACTTGCAATGTATATAATAAGCAGCCTAGTAGTGGAAATTAATACTTAGATATAAAAAATTGATCCTCAAAGCGATGCACTAATACAAGCCTCATTTAAAGTGAATGCAATTTCTGCTGACACGTTGCCTTAAGAAAAACAGCCAAAATGTGACTTCTTAGAAATTAATGCCAATTCCCCAATAGTTTGTACGTCATCTAAATACTTGTTCACTTAAACATGCAGTATAAGCCTTAGCTTTAATATATATATATATATATATATATATATATATATATATATATATATATGTATGTATGTATGTATGTATGTATGTATATGTAGAAGCACGAAGCCGAAAGCATCAGCCTGAAGATGACGAATGAGACTTCGTCGAAACATCGCCAAGACACTTCCAATTTTACGTGGGAGAAAACCCGAATAACCAAAGACCTACATACAAACACCTGCGAAAACCTCAGAAAACAAATATATATACATATATATATATATATATATATATCCAAATTTCTTTTTCTGACAAAGAATTAAAGAGGGAGACTAAGATGGCCATTTCGAGCTCATTCTGCTCTCTTCAGTTAGCCACATCCTTTATGGGATTTGAACCTGGGCAGTTTACATACTAGGCAGTGATTTAACCACCAAGCCACAGGCTCTCCTCCCTCTTTGCCAGCTGAGTCAAGGGAGTATATGCAGGAAGTTGCTTTGCCTCTTTTGTCAGAAAAAGAAATTTGGATTTGTAATGTTTCGCAGTTGCGACTTGAGCCTGCTTAACGCCCCTAGTTGGGGGCTGCAAGGCAAAAGAGATTGTAAAAAAAAGTAAAACTGCAGTATAGCAATTAAAAAATGTCAAGCTGTAATCAATTAGACATCTGTCTGAAAAACTTCCTGCATATACTCCCTTGACTCAGCTGGCAAAGAGGGAGGAGAGCCTGTGGCTTGGTGGTTAAATCACTGCCTAGTATGTAAACTGCCCAGGTTCGAATCCCATAAAGGGTGTGGCTAACTGAAGAGAGCAGAATGAGCTCGAAATGGCCATCTTAGTCTCCCAATTTAATTCTTTAATTCTTTGTCATAAAAAGAAATTTGGATTTGTAATGTTTCGCAGTTGCGACTTGAGCCTGCTTAACGCCCCTAGTTGGGGGCTGCAAGGCAAAAGAGATTGTAAAAAAAAAGTAAAACTGCTGTATAGCAGTTAAAAAATGTCAAGGTGTAATCAATTAGACATCTGTCTGAAAAACTTCATATATATATATATATATGTATATATATATATATGTATATATATATACAAATATGTATATACATATATGTGTGTATGTATATATATATATATATATATATATAAAACCTATTTGGAATGATGAAACATTAGTTCATAAAGTTTGCCAAGTTTAGTTCCAAATGTTTCCCAAGAAAGTTCAAATAATTATTTATTTAAATGAATATATCGTTGTGATATATTTTACTCAAAATAGCTCCTTAAAAATATTTTAAAATCTCTGAAGTACATTCAACAATTTCTTTGACAAAAGAATAATCACCTACTCTTCATTAGTAACTTTAGCTTTGCTGTAGCGAGACAACCAATATGTACAAGAAAACTTGTGCATACACTTTCTTTTTATTTTAATTTTAATATCTGAGTTAAACACCAATTAAGTTTCATTATTAAAACTATGAGTATACCGTTCAATTATTTTAATGTCTTGAAATTACATAAAGAAAGCACAATTTTGGTAGAAATGCAGATGAAAACCACAGTCTATTCCAAACAAGGAAAAAGCTGTATTTCATGTTTTCACCCAATCAAGAGGCAGCATCAAATCTAGACAATATTGTATTACACATAATTGCTTTAATCCTAAGGCATTTTAAGACGTATTTGAAGTAATACAAGGGATGTCTGTTTTACTATTTTCATTATGAATCTGAAATTACCGGCTCCCTGTCTTGTGAAGACTGTTATTTGAAAGATCCTCTCTGTAGGATCTAGAAGGTAAATACTGTTGATACAAATATCCTGATATATTTAAATAACTTAAGTAATTGCAGTATTATTCAAGATTTATTTCACTGTTTAACACTGTTAAAAATCTATGGAGTCTTGCAAGGAAAAGACAATTTTAAAACTTGCCCAATATAGTACAAAACAAGAAAAGCTTCACAAATAAGCTATAAACTATCTTTACATAATAGTGCCATCTGCTGGCAATATCCTATATAAATATATATACTGCTTTATGTTATTCACTTTTCAAGTTAACTGATGTTATATGAAGTGCTGAAAATGCATAACAATGAGTAAGTTGTCCAAAGAAATTAAGGCATGAGATAAAAAGAGGAAATATGTCTAAAACTAGTTTACACCAATGCCATCCTCTGCATCTCTCAATGCTTTTCTATTCTTAAAGCCATTCTTGTTTCTAATATGTTTGCACACTACTTCAAATGCTGTTTTAATGGTCTACTCCTATTTTTCAACCCATTCATTTTTCCTTCATATATCCATTTTCTCATTCAGTCTTCATTCATTCTTTTTATAAGATCAAACCATCACTAACATACTTCTTTCTTACTGGTCACTCACTTTTATATTCAATCAACATTCATTCAGCATCCATTCATTCTTGACACATTTACTCAAATATCATTTTTATTATGATTATTAACTAGCATATGATACTGTAGAACTATAAAGCAAAAACTGTAAAATATAAGCTATGAAAAAGTAGCTAAGTTAAAATCACTGCCAGAAAATCTACAAACTCACTCCGAATTTATTTCAGAATTACCAAATGAAGTATAAAAATATTAATAAGGACTTTGTATAATACAAAACATAGTGTAGCATAATATTTCTGTTATTACATCAAATGCCTATATTTTAGATTAAGAGTAATAAACTATATTAAAATATCCTATCCTTTACTTTATAATAAAACACAATTTCAAGAATGAAACTAAATTAAATAACAGCTGATAACTAACAATATTATGAACATATGGATATATCTTTATTTGGTCTAAGTATTAAATCAGATCAAATGTTGTTCATGGATTCAGACCAAAGCAAAATATAAAACAGCAATACAATAAAAAAGAAGTGTGATAAATTAAAATACAGAAATAAAAATAGCAATAAAAACTAGGTTACAACCTAACAAACTGCTCATGATTTGCAGGCTAGTAATGCAAAGGTAGTCATGGTGTATGCTATTTTACAATTTTTAATCAGAGATAATGAACAAAAAAAATATCTCTTGTTTTACTATCTGCGCTTCTTAAAAACCCGTTCTCAATGATCGAACTCCCTTTATGTGTTTCCCATTGCATACAACACTTCCATATCACCGAAGCAAAACAAAGAGGC